GTCTTTCGCTACTCAGGTTAAACATATATAAGTCACTTAGATAACTTAAAAATGTTATTGTTTGGCTTTTTTTAGTATTTTATTTGTTCCTGAGTAAATCGGTTTGGCTGAGACTTTTAGCTGTTAATCATGAGGTTCAATATTAGAGAGAAAGTCTGGGTATACTGGACCTGTAGGGAAGAAAATGACATCTTCATCTAAATTATCAACCCAATAAAAATATGAACCCTAACCCAGTTGGGAGTTTATTGTATTTAATGACAGTTGTTTCTTTACACAAACTTGAAAGGAAGTGGAAATGCCTCAAGTGTTTGAATTATTCTGCTTGTTAAACTTGTTGGAATAAAGGATTAAAAACGAGCCTCTGGAGCGTTTCTCTGACCTGCTGCTACCATCAGCCTGTTCGACTGTTTTCAGAGGGACCCTGAAGCCTCGCCTCGAGCCTCAGATGCTTCAGTGCTTCTCGGGAACATTGTGCTGCTACCTTCTGCTATTGAACAGTCATTTTAATTCATTTGGACAATTTTTTTTTCCATGTAGCAAAACCTCGCGTCAGTCCAAGTGGAGCCAAAATGCCAGAAAAGAACTGACCAAAGGATCCAGTGAGTTAAAAATCTGTCACTTCATAATCGATTCACATGCACTGTGCAGAAAACCTGCATGACAGTCGGGTCCTGTCTGACTGAAGCTGCAAACAAACTGTGATCAGACTCACTGAGGAGCTCACACAGGCTCTACACAAAGTGTTTATTTAAGTTCAGACATGATTTCATTCTTTTACGCCTGCAACGATTTTGTTTGTTAGGTTTTTTTGGTGCATTTTGCTGTTCAAGTCTTTTTGTACCGTTACTATAAACGTGTCGCGTGCTGCACTTGTACAGTAGCTTTCTCTCTCCGTGTGTAGTGATGAAGTGCAGGGTTGTGATAATTGTAAATGTCAGCTCTGAGAGCTTCCCGGCACAAACCTGCAGGCTGCTGCACACTGGTGCCTCCCCTGGATCGACACAGGGACGCAGGCAGGCCGACTCCACGGGAACAAATTAAAATCCACTAAACTCATTTGACCTCATGCTGCAGTTTTTACATAAAGATATTCAAATCTCTCCGTGCCGTCTCAAACACACGAGACATTAAATCACTGGCAGATTTTCTAGGA